CCCCCCCCGGGGGTCTGTCACCCCCCCAGACCCCATTACCACCCCATGGGTGTCCCTGGGGACCCTCCCCCCCGGTGTCTCTGCCCTGTTTTTGGGGTGGTTTATCCCTTCCTCCACGATTTCCGCCCCCCAGGAGCAGGATGAGATCGTGGCTGCCCTGGAGGACTCCCCGAAGCCGCCGCCGGCGCGGGTGACGCTGACGCTGCCGGTGCTGAACGCGGCGCGGAGCGTCCTGGTCGTGGCCACCGGCGCCTCCAAGGCCCCCGCGCTCAAGGTGTGTCCCGTTCCCGGGGAGGATCCCGGGATCTGGGGGTCGGGGAGGTGACGGACACCGGGTTCCCTGTCTCCCCACAGCGGATTTTGGAAGGGAAGGAGGAGCCCCCCCTGCCCGCCGCCCTGGTCCGGCCGCGCTCCGGGCGCCTGCGCTGGCTCCTGGATGAGGCGGCGGCCGCAGAGCTCAGCATCCCCGTGGAAAAACACTCCGGAGTGTAGAGCTGGGGATGGATCCACGGCGTTCCAGGAGCTGGGTGTCCCCCTGGGAATCCGCTCCGGGTTTTAGAGCCAGGGATGAGTCCTGGTGACATTCCAGAGCTGAGAATTCCCATGGAGAAACACTCCGGGTGGTAGAGGCAGTGCTGGATCCACGACATTCCAGGCAGGAATAGGGAATCCCATGGGCTGTGACCCAAGACATGGGATTTTTTACTCTTTTTTGGGATCAAACGGTGCTTTGCCGAGCTTTCCATGGAATAATTCCTTAGATTTGCTGGGGGTTGGAATCACGTGCGGGGACAGGATGATTTTGTGCTGGAGCGTTTGGAATCCATGTGGGAACTGGGATGGAGGGACTAGGAGGGAGGAATGGGGGGAAAATGGGCTGGAATGAGTGGATTTGAGTCTGACATTCCAGGAGCTGAGTATTCCCAGTATTCCCAAAACACTGTAGAGCATAGAGCTGGTGCTGGATCCATGACATTTCAGGCAGGGAATAGGGAATCCCACGGGCTGTGCCCCAAAACATGGGATTTTGGACTTTTTTTTGGGAACAAACGGTGCTTTGCTGAGTGTGAATTTCCGTGTCAGAATTCCTTGGATTTGGGGGGATCCGGGTGGGAATTGCGAACAGGGACGGGATCTTTTTGTGCTGGAGGGTTTGGAATCCGGTCGGGAACTGGGATGGAGGGACTGGGGGGGGCTGGGATGGACTGGGAGGGTTGGGATGGACTGGGGGGGACTGGGATGGATTGGGGGGGTGGAATGGATTGGAAGGGGCTGGGATGGACTGGAAAGGGATGGAATGGACTGGGATGGGCTGGGAGGGGGATGGGAAGGGCTGGGAGGGGGCTGGGACGGAGGGAAAATGGGCTGAACGCGAGGGAAAATGGGCTGAATGCGGCAGATTTTGGTCGAGCAGAAGCCGTGGCCCCTCCCGGCGGCGCCGCCTCCTTCCCTCTGGAATTCTCTCCAC